AGAAGAAATAGTTCTTCACGGAAAAAGATGAAAATTTCATTTCTCCTACCTTCAGCATCCGAATCCCTTCTTCAAAGGTAAGCCGCAAGGTCTTTCGCAAGTACTGCATACCCAATCAAAGGCAGGAATTAGTAATTTAGTATCAAAGCAAAAAAATTGACATTTCTTAATCGGTATCTGTGTGGGGATCCATAACAACTTCTTTCACAAAAATAAAGATCGCAAATCATGTAAAATGAGTAGCAATGACCTTCAATGGCTTAAAACGGTATTGTGCATTGATGGCCTCAAGCTCCTTTCGACAAGTATCATTCAAACTGTCAAACATGGTAACAAATAAGCGGTCAACAATATCCATTACCTGCATGAGTAAGATCAGGAAGTTACAAAGAAAGTTTACTTCAAGTACTCAAAACTTCTATGCTAATTATGCATACCTCTGAATAGTGCTCCTTGATCTCCATTTCAACATCAAGACCAGTGAATTCACACAAATGTCTGTGTGTAAAAGAATCTTCTGCCCTAAATACAGGACCAATTTCAAAAACACGGCCAAAATCACCACAAATTGCCATTTGTTTGTGAAGCTGAGGTGACTGTGCCAGACATGCAGGTTGCCCCTTGTAATCGAGTTTAAAAACAGCTGAACCACCTTCACTAGAGCCTGCTATCAATTTTGGCGTGTGGATACCAACAAAACCTTCAGACAGTAAAAACTGCCTAAATATCTGAACGAACATGAAATAGAATTAAGGCTCAGAAGGTACAATTTTGCAATGATTATAACATTGATTCAATAAGTTTCACATTCATGAAATGACCGAAATTTTTGGCAACAGCAGCCATTTCTAGATACCCTCAACACTTGAAAAAAGCAAATTCAAACAATATATGCAAGCAATTTCTTTCCAAAAATATCATTAAAAACAGAAGTAAAAAAATGTCGATGGGAAGAGGCAAAACATATTATGCTACCCTTGCCAGCATCAGCAAAACTGAATAAACACGATAGCATATCATCAGAACTGAACTACATCGAACAAAAAAGACTGCATTATATTGCTGGAAATTCTATATTCTACAGCACTGGGATCAAGAGTAGGAAGTTCAAAGGACAAATAATTGTTTTAGAAGACAATATGTCCAAGTCAAGAAGACCCCAAATGAGGATGCACATGGAAAAGAAATGAAGACATACAACGCCCAAATGAAGTCTACATACATTTTCAACTTGACATTGAATGCGAAAAATTCCTTGATTAGCTGGCGTGCGAATGTCAAGGACCCTGAAATTCAATCGTGTATCCTGATTTACACGAACAAGTTGCTCTCCAGCCTGCATCATAAAACAGATCAGTTTAGATGCTCAATATAAAAGAATTTATCCATCAATTTCTTGTAGGCCAAGTACTACAGGAACACAACTAATTATTGATATCCACTAGGTGAATTTGTTACAAGAATCACAGGGAAAATTTGTTTTAGAAACATTGAAAAATATGCATTATACAAGGGAATATATTCCTCCATGTGCCTGGGTAAACATGTAAAAACGTGTAAACTGCAAGAAAGCATACCTTCAAAGCCTTCTCTATTTCCTCTTCACTTCTAGCAGCATCCTCAATATTAATAGGTAGTGTAGGAATAGCCTTGTTGACACAATAAAGTTTTCTCACTTGCACCTCCACCTACAGCAAACCAATCCATTGTTCATCAGAAATACATAGATAATTCAAAATGCACTTGTTACTCGCTGATTCACTCAAGGTTCTCATGCACCTTGCAGCCACATTTTATTAAAAAAAAAAAAATTCCGGTATTGCCCCATTCAGAGTACAACTTACAATATACGAGAGAATATTTATTTGATTACTCTCTAGTCAACTATCATTTGGTGTCCCATAAATTTTAGTTGAAAGGTGAAAACCTTTTTACATGTGTACTAACAATTATGCATAGGTTGAAATTCTAGTAGCCTTACTGACCAAAAAATAAATTATTTCATACACGGTATTGAATAGAACCAAGTTTGTTCAACATTTTATCCAAGTGAATTTTTATTTGACATATAGCAGAATGTTTTATACTCTTCCAGTTTATTAAAGAGAATTTCAAAATTCAAATTATATATCCTAATGAATTCCTAGCACTCGTGTTTATTATTAGTCACAAACCAACGAAATTTCACTTTTAAATTTCAGTTACGCCTGGCATAAAGAAATTAAACTATAGTTAAGTAGGCACCAGATTAGAATTTTTAGAACTAAATTTAGAGCCCACATGACACACACAATCAGACGTGTAAGGGCCTGCATGGGATTTTTTTTTTCACCTATTTTGACCAGTTCTGGTCAGCACAGTTCATGAGGGGTACGAAAAATCGGTGCTTGGTAGTTTTTTTTTTTTTTTTTTTTTTTTTAAATCGGTGTAGTGTAATTTTGACCAGTTTTCTCAACCCACCAAATTGGTGGCGTTTCTCATAATTCTCTGCTAATTTTTACCCTCAGTAAAATAATTATTTCCAACCAACATATTTTGTTCAAAATTAACCTAGTTAAAAATTATATATTAACTGAAAAAATTATTTATAAGCAAAAAAAAAAAAAATTTACATTATCATTAAAAATTACTGATAAGAAAAATATTGCTTATAAGATGAAAAATTCCTTTTATTTAAAAAAAATTTGTTTATAAAATAAAATACTACTAATGAGACAAAAAATCACTAATAAAATATAAAATATTACTTATAAGTAAAAAATTCACTTAAAATGTACAAAATTAACTTATAATGGTAAAGTTTTCTTATAAGGGAAAAAAAAATACGAACTTAAAATTTTAAGCAAATATTTAACCTTTTTTTAACCATTTAAGCTAAATATTAACTTATACGCAACAAAAATTACCCACAAGCAAAATATAAATTGACAATTTCACTAATGGACATATACGTATTTATTCTTCTAAAAAGCTTTCAGATTATTCAAAGCATGGATTGGACTATTTCAAAAATAGCTACAAAAACCGCTCAAAATTGTACTTTAGAAATCGCTCATAACTGCTCCCAAGCAGGCCCTATTATTCTCATCAGTACGGTGCATGCATGTTGTTAAAAAAGTTGCCGTGTCAACATACTTCGGCAAATTGAACCAAAAGCAGAAAAAAGACACACACACACACACACACCAACTAACGAGCTCTGATTGATGGAATATGTGAAATATCAAGTTCAATTATGCGGAAAATTTTCCCAATTCCTTCCTTCAAGTCCCTGCATTGCAAGTTGCAACAATACAAACACGAAAACACACGGACCTGTTGAGTGGCGCCTGTGATGGTAGTAGCAGGCACAGAGATAACTCCTTCGATATCAACAATTGATTCCCTGCTCAAACTGGTGGCAAATTTCACCATCTGGGCACTGACAACATCGGGCGTCACAGTCAAAATGCACTGCACCGTAAACCCCCGTTCCCTCACCACAACAAACGCCATCTTTTTACCTACGGCTCGAATTGCCTGACACCGGCCTCGGATCAGAACATCCTGGTCCTTCAACCCTTCGTTCAACTCCTTCACTTCCGTCCACTTTCGGCCCGAAATTTCCTTCGACTTCAAATCATCCAATGGGGTTTCACCGTAATTTTCGGCCAATGGATCCGCAGCGTCAATTGCCATGGAAGAAATATTAGTAGCTGCTGCAGCCGCTGCCGCTTCTTGGCGTTTGCGCAAGCGTTCAAGTTTTGCAGCCTCCTTTTTGGACAATTTCTTACCACTTCCTTCTTCATTTTGTGATTGATCTTCAGGGTTTGTCGGGTTTTGGGACGGTTCTTCAGAAGCCATTTTTACAAAGAGAGAATGGGGATTACGTAGGGTTTTAGAGATGGGAAAAAGAAAGTCGTAATGATTCGATATGTTGAAGAAATGAACAGTCTATTATTGACTATGTATTGATGGAAGAGCCCATGAAATTCTTATTCCTAACTCGATCGAATCCAATTTCCCTTTGGCCTCTGTAAATGAAAATCGATGGAATAATATTTTTTTAAAAAAAATGAGTTGTTAAAAAAAAAAATTTTTGATTCACGTATAATATTAGAAGATTGTATGGTTAAAAAGAGGAGAGAAAAATATAAGGCCAAACGAAAAACCAGACCAAATTTCGGTCTTTAAGTTTCTATTCAAATATCAATTCTAATTACAGAAGCGAAAAACGCATCTATATCATAAATTATATGCGAGTTAATATATGTTTAGAATTGGAAAAAAATCACTTCTATAATTAAAATAAAGTATTCAATAAAAATTTAATTTTAGAAACTTGGTACATTTCAATATAGATATATCCAAATCCCTCTATAAAAGTCTCAATATTAGATAAACATTTTTGGATGATAATATTCCCACTCACATTTTAGAATACCAAATTTGTTATTTTCACAACTTAGCCTCTGCTTCGTTTAGATAAAATCAATCTTTAATAATAGATATACGTTCGAGGGTGCTGAGAGCTAGAAAGCTCCATAATGATGGAGGCTCATGCTTGAACCTCCATAACATTACTTTACTAAAAAAAAATTCATAAAAACATATTACTTTATAAAAATTAATTTTAAAAATTATATTTGATTGATTATGTCATTTTGAAGCACAATCTAAAATATTAAGATTAGAATCATTTCACGATAAAAATGAAATGGCAATAAAAACTTATTTTTCGAAAAATAAATATATTCATTTGTTAACATGTTTGGTCTTCATTTTTTAAAATTTATTTTCCTTCAAACATATTTTCAATCATATATTTATGGAATTCACACTTTCATTCTTGAATTAGTGTGGAGAAATAGAGAGGCATGACTGTAGCGTGTAAAAATGGAGAAAGAGTAAAGAAAGCTCTATGACATAATTCTCCACCCTGCGTAAATTGAGGAAAAGCAACAAAGTAATTGTATCAAACACGTAAGATAAACGACGTCGTTGCTTTCTCTCAATATAATAAAAAAAAAAAAAAAAGCTACAGTGAAATAAAATGGAAGAATCTACTGTTCTTTCTACAGTAGTGAAACACAGCCCTTTTTATATAGTAGTGATAAAAATATCAAATCAGGAATATATTTGATTTTCTGAAATATTTGAAGATATTTAGCAATTGAACTGCTACAGGAATGTAAAAGACACAGCTATAACAGTTGAGTTCACTAAGAAAATATGTGTATAAGGTAGCCCAAAGCAAGCCAGGCAACCTAAGCATTTAGACTGTCTGTTGGGAGTTTCATTGCTTTATCCTTTAAGGTGGAACCATACCCAGTAAAGGCATCCATGTCTCCAGATCCAATTTCCAATAAACAAATTGCCTGGATCACCCAGTTAATTCAAGGTGGCAAGCAAATATAAACGATCTGCAAACTGGCCAGGCTCGGGTTTGGTTGACAAGTATTTCAGTTGTGTTCTGAGACTGAGATGGGAAGTATAACTATGAGGAGTATTGCCTATTGCCATTCAGTAAGAATTGTTGAAATGGAACCAGAACCCTTCTAGAATGCATAGTATGTTATTCTGATAGCAGCAGAATTCGCAAGAAAAAAGAAAACATATTTTGAAAAGGATTGATCTTGGGGAAAAAAAAGAAAAGAAAAGGAAGACAGAATAAAGTTTAAATAGGAAGCAAAGCAACCACTAGAAATATGAGCAGATCAGAAAAATTAATGGTACAGTAGATCAAAACTTCTTTAAGATAAAAAGAACAAAGGAAATTTCTGCAAAAATAAATATTCACAAGTCTAAACATCAAGAAGTTAAATTAAAAAATCATGCTTACAGGTCCCATATTTGACTAATTATCATAATGGAACTTCAATTGTTTCTTTTTTAAGGGTTTATTCTCGTCTAATGGTAATAGGTTACTTCCATAGCTATTACTAGTTAAAATTTTAAAAAATCCATATTTGATTGCTTAATATAATATTAACAGTATTCTTTTACACTGAAAAAACTACAATATTACTAGTCAAAATCCAAAATAGTATTATGCCCGTTTTCAGTTAAAACTAGTGAAAACAATTTTATGCTACTATTGAGATTGATCAATTGACTATAAAGCATCAGAAGAGAATGGTCCAGAAAATACCTGTAGGCGTAATTTGTCAACTTCAATCATCATAAGAGATCCTAAATTTCCAGAAAGAATTTCTAATGCATCTCCATATTTGGATTGCTGCTCCAACAGAGATATATAGACACTAAGAGCTGCAGTAACCACCAGTCGCTTTAGTGACTTGAACTAGCAAAAAATATGGCAACCAATCTCATTTTGATGGCCTACTAAAACTAGTACCAAAAGAAAAAAAAAAAAAAAAGGATTTACCTTCTGGTTCATGCAAACTATGAGAAGATATATGTTTCTTGAGTAAACCTTCAGCTAACTGTAAAAGCTTCTCTCCCCCATTGCCACAACAAACCTTGTCAAGTTCAAATACCATACGTAAGCATCTAGGAAACTGATATATCCAGAAGAAACATAGATATCATGGTAGTCATTATTATATCATTCACAGTTCTGAACATATGCCCTATCATCAGCTTCAAAGGTAAAATAAAGATCATGAGCCGGTGGTAAATAATGCAATTTAACCATAATAGCTGAACAGGATTGAAACTGGCTGTGTTAGACCAATACCCTCTAGCTTGGCAAGTTTCGATATGTGCTAGGCATTAATCTAGATTGGGCTAGGCTAAGCTTAAATACAAATTTACTCAAACCATAATGCATTGAGTTTCGGCTACAGAATTTTAGCCCAATTTAAGCCTACTCCAAAAAATGTTGTAACTTATTCTCGTTGAATATATAATTTACCTATTACGATAAATCCTTGATAGGATTGTTTCTACTCTTCTTCTCCTGATATTCTACTCCTTTTAGTTTACTTTTTATTTGCTCTATGGTACTAGTGAAATGATGAACATGTTTTGAGACACTCTGTGATGTCTGATTATTGCTCATATGAAATTTGATCTTGAATAATGTTCAGAAACAATCCACATTCATGGGGAAACGATTCAGTACAAATTATTTTATTGTAATGAGTCTTTTCTTTCGATTATACAGAATTTTAACATAAACTAAGTGATGATATACATAGTATAGTTGGTCAAATGTGAAGATATAGCAGAATTTACATACACATCTAATTGGTGAGTCAGAAACCAAACATAAACCCAAACCTTGCACTACTTCTTTCCTGATTGATGGTGGCCAAGGGACAAGTAATTCCTCCTAGTGTAACAAGCTTTCCTCCTAGTGTAACAAGCTATTTGATAAACATGAACCTTTCTCCCAATTAAGACGAACACAAATTTCTTACGTTCCTGATATAGATCGCGATATTAGGTGTTAAAATTCCATCAAAATTGATCAAACTAACAATTTCTTCAGTCAACTCATAGAAGATTATCTTCAAGGGTATTCTTTTGTGTACTGTGAGCTAAAAAGAGATGAGCATCTAAACTTTTCCTAATTGGCAATTTCTATTTTGTAAAGCCTTGGAAGATGTCTTCAGAAAAATCAGTGATGTTCATTCAGCCAGATGGTATTTCAATAGAAATCAAAAGAATTAAAAGGCATAAGAACTTTTTATGTTTGCTCTCCAGTTCCAATTTCTGAATTTAACAAATCAAAGGGTGAAGCATGCTGAAAACTAATCATTGCCACAAATTCTAACAGATCTTATCCACATAAGAATGATAGTATTTATATCAATAAGGACCTGTAACTGAATGCTGCAAACAGCCCAAAGCAAGAACCTTTCTTCACCAACAATCTTGTACATTTTAATAGCTATCTGCGACCAAGAGGGAAAGTTTTGAAATGAAAATTAAAGAAATCCATAAGCCTAACATATAAGTAACATACAAAAAATGTTGGGAAGCAACATCATGTCATTCACCTGTTGCTGCTTCACAAAAGAATATTCATGAACGTAACAGTTGAAAAGACCCATCATTAGTTCCAAATTGTTGGGATACTTGCCACATGCATACTCATAACAACTTGTCGCCATATCAACTGTTATAGTAAACAATATTTAAACGCATATTCCTCCAAGAAAAACAAGCACAAAAATTAAGTAGAGGTAACACGGACAGTGATCTAGGCGCTGGAAAACAATCTGTAAAGTGCTAAGAGTGAGATCATCTATGATGCTGGAGTCATTGGTGAATAAAATCTCTTTGGCATTTAAACAAACAGAAAGCGCTTCGTCATTTTTGCCCATTCTTTCCAATATCAGAGCCTTCAAAGCCTGCACGCATTGCAACCGTAATATGAATACTGATCACCAACATTCACGTTTACCTATCCCAAATAAATACTGAAGAAAATGAAATTAAAAAGAAAAATAAGCGGGGGACGGGCTGACAAACTTACAAGAGCATAAGGAGAATTTGGGTATTTGGAGAGAAGGGTGGCGGAGTGCTTGAGGGCGTTCTTGAACTGGCGAGAATCGATGGCATCCCAAATGGGTCGGACCCGCCGCTCCGGAATGCCACCCGCTAACCCGAATTTGGACGCCATTCAGGAAAAACAGTTCTGAAGAATTCTGGTCGCTTAACGGGTGCAATTAACGGAACGGCGTTCCGGAGAGATCAGCACAAAAATTCAGAAAATAAAAATAAATATAGTGCTGGGTTGGGAATTTGGAGATGCGCAGGTAGAGGGGAATCTGCTTCCAAGTGGGATAGCAGTCCAGTTGACGACGCTTAGGTTTTCCCTTTGGGGGTATTAGGGTTATAGACGTAATACCTAGCTTGCCAGCATGAACAATGTTGTAAATTGATTTACTAATAGGTCATTTTACTATGCAATGATTCTTTCTGAGTAGCTCTATTTACATTCATGCTTTTTACAAGTATATCTACTTTTAAAAATAAAATTTTACAATATTTTAAGTCATATATAAATTTACTTAAATAGACATAAGTAATACTGAAATACACACTAATTTGTTGAATCAATTACTTTAATTCTACCCAAATCATCAAAATTATATTCTGCTAGACGGCAAATTATAATTGGCAGCCGGCTACTGTTCAGTTCTAGGATTTACCAACAAACCCCAGCAGATCTTTTGTTGTTCTTCTTTATTTTCTCATTCTTCTTGTCCAATTTTTTCAAAATCAAATGATGGCGGGTGACTGATGATTTTAGGTTGTGTTTGGACATGGCTGTAGGGTGATGGGTTTTTATTTTTTGTGGGCGTGGGGTGGCTGTTTGAGGAGGAAGAACATGTCTTGGTTTTATCCAGTGACACGGCGAGCAACACCTTGTTGTCGGAGAAGAATGAATGAGGGAGACCAGGTAGGGGGAACATTGGGATTTGGGAAACTAGAGTTTGTCTTTTGTCTTTTGACTTTTGTTTTTTGTTTTATTTTTAAGTTTTAATATTATTCTAAGCTTACTCATATAGAAATTTGAAATTCACCTACGGATGATCCGGCAAAGTTATCATTTGTATGATTGCTTTAATAATAAAATTGCCTTCTTTGGGCTAAAAAAAAAGTCTCAGATATAATGATGAGTTTGCCAATCATAAATGCCAGAAACGATTATTGTTTGTAATTCAATTATAATTATTTTATCTCATTTTAAATATCCCTTGTTTTGTTCTTATTTCATTCATTTGTTTTGAAAGAGTTTATGGTTTTAGAAATTGTATGAATTTATAGTGTTAGGAATGTATTTAAAGTAGAATAAATATATAAAATTCACGTGGATATATAATATTTAAATGAATGGATTTAATAAGGGCAAAATTGGAAATGACGTGGATGTTAATAGTATTTTTTTTAATTTTAAAATTTTATTAGGGATTAACTTAGTGTGGGATGTATTTATAAAAAGTGTGGATGGAAATAGCAGTCCAAATTTTATTAAATTTGAGGAAATTGCCTTAAATGTCCATTTTTACATGGACATAATGTCCAAAATTTCGCAACGTCCATTTTTCAATTATTTGGACGAGAGTGCCCTTAATTCCAAAGTAGTATTCAAATGTTGTCCCATCATTAAGAATTCTATTGCCAATAAAATTAAGACACGCAACATATTCTACTTGTTTCAAAAAATACAAATGTCAATCACATTAAATACGTTTGTCGGGTCATTTGAAATAAAAAATTGGACAGGTCCATTCATGAATCAAACTCGTACGAAAACATAAAACTCTATTCCTATTCTTCATTTAATTTGAATCCAACTGTGAAATCCTCCCTCTCAACTTAGAAACCCAGAAATACAAAGCTAAAATTTACTGATTTAATTGGAAATGAAGAGCCGCTGCACCTTAACCTTTCTGTTCATCCCCTAATTGCTCTCCTAATTGTAAGTCGAAGAAGATTCTTCTGTCTTCCTTAGTTACTTTCAATAAGGTAACTTTACATAGATACATCTTTTTTTGGTCTTTTTTTATTGTTTGTGTTGTAATTTTAATATGTATTTCATCTTATTTGATTTTACAATGTTGTATTTGATTTTTGATAGTTGCAGATTTTAGTTAGGGTTTAGTAAGCTTCTCATTATTATGTTTTATATATGTGTATATGTTAATTAATTAGCTCAAAACTTGGTGTATAAACTTAATTTCATGTTCATGTATGTAACCCAATAAATTCCTTCTGTACATGTATACATCTCTCATCCAGTGTTTTGATTTTCTATGTATATGTATAGATAATAAAGACCGTAGGCAATTCTTGGCATGTTTATTGGCTCCGTGTTTCTCCCCGAACAGCTATCGGCAGCAACAACCTTTGTTTTCTTCTTATTTTGCTCTATTTTTGCGTGTATATCTATATAAAATAACGGTAGTCGGCCAATGTTTTGCTTTCAAGGGGACTCTCTTATGTATACATGTAATCATCATTTTCCAGCCTACAATGAGTGTGTAAAAATGTGAAATATTGGTTGCCCCCTCATTTTTCGTAGGCGTGTATGTATAATATGTTCTTGGCTGCCTCCAAATATGTGTGTAAAGTATATTATATGGGCTGTTGTACATGTTTATTCCTATTTTTGCGTGTATATCTATATAAAATAACGGTAGTCGGCCAATGTTTTGCTTTCAAGGGGACTCTCTTATGTATACATGTAATCATCATTTTCCAGCCTACAATGAGTGTGTAAAAATGTGAAATATTGGTTGCCCCCTCATTTTTCGTAGGCGTGTATGTATAATATGTTCTTGGCTGCCTCCAAATATGTGTGTAAAGTATATTATATGGGCTGTTGTACATGTTTATTGTACATGTTTATTCATCACTTTAACGTAGCCAAAATTGTTGACTCAAATTCAAAGCCATTAACCTCGCCTCATATAGACATGCATAGATTATTTAACAGACGAATTAATTTCTCTTCTTACAAGATTCCTTTTTAGTTGGGGTTTAAACCATCACATCAAATGACAAGTTAGTAACATTGTTTCGTACAAGAGCAGATTCATAGTTTTATGATGTAACTGCACTATTAATGTGTAGATTAGTTTGTGCACGATGAACAGTTGATTTCGAATACATGAGAATTGACATCTTATCTTCATTTTTAAGTTAAAGGCTAAATGCATGGAAAATGAGTAAGTTGTAAACATTAATATTTACTTTATTGTGTTACACACATACACATGAATACAGCACACATCTACAAACACTTCCCATACTATCTTTAAAAGAAAAATAAAATTGAAATTGAACTTTGTGATCACACATTAGGTGCTAATGTATTCATAGATCTTAGTCATCATTTCGAAGGTAATTCTAATTTTAATGTATTGTATTCCGTTGAATTTGTACAATATACTTTATGAGTACCTTGCACACTATGCTTTATGAGTACCTATTCGATCAGATAGCAAGTATCTTGAATGGTTACTTGATTTTTATTTTTTTCTGTTATCGTTTCTTAGGGTTTTTTTTTTTTTTTGTATATTCTCCTAATACTTTTTTGTGTTTTTGGTTATATGTAGATGACTTTTTCACACCGATTCAAAGTACCAGAGGAAAAGCGTCCCGACGTAGGTTTCACAAGTCAGCAACATGAAATATATAACAATTGTCCTCGACAAACTCGATGCACAACAAAAGCATATATTCAAGGAAAGTTGCATAGGACATGTTGCCAAGTTGTTAGAGCTGAAACTGTCTGGGCAATTAATTCACAAATGGTGAATAGTTGATCGGTGTTTTCTAACAAAAGTTTTGAGGTTTGGTTCAAGGTGAACCAAAGGTTTGCATGATTCGAACAGCCGGAGTTTGCATTAATCAATGGGTTGAAGTGTGATGAAGTACCGAAAGGTGATAGACAACATCCTAGGAAAAACCCGGCTATGGGACAAACTATTTATCCGTAAAGACTGGGTAACGTGTACTGACATGGAGAACGTTTTTCTAAAATATACCCAACATAATGATCGTTACAAACTTCGGTTGGCAGTGATTATTGAAGGGGTCTTCAATTGTAGAGACCCAAATATGAGGATACATCCCGAAACTCTCTTCATTGTGGATGATTTGGATTTCTTCAATGCCTACTCATGGGGACAGTGTTTCAAACTTCTTGTCAAATAACTTCTCGGTGGATGGGTGAGAAAGGCAGACCTAGCAAAGGTCCACAATTGTGACCGAATGTTTTAGACGTTGTACGGTTTCCCTCTTGCTGTTCAGGTACACATGTTCCATATTTTCATTTCATTTTTTCCATCCCATGTTATGTCCCTCTGTATAGTAACTTTCATTCTGTTCGTCATGAAGTTGTGGAGGTACGAGGCTATGCCGGAGCTGGGAGCTCGATTTGCGACAAAGACAGGTGACGATATTTCGAGGATGTTGCGATGGACTGTCACAAGACAACTGCAGTCCAGAATATATTCAAACTTCTTCAAGAAAACACATGTGAGCATCTTGCATATAAAATTCCTGTTACAATTTCAGAATGATTAATATCTCATTTTGACGATTTTGTCTTTCCCTTATAGGTGCACTTATGGACGACGCTGCGCGCTACTGCTGCAGAAGAATTGTAGCCATATATTATTGGGTTGGTTGCTTTACCAGACAAAATAGACCAAGCTCTAGACAATCTCATTGCTCAGACAATAGAAATGCAGGATTGCCCACCAGAAGGTGAAGTTATGCACAATGTGAACAACAATCAACGACAAAGTCTCGAAGAGGCAACACAAGTGGACTTCGTCTCAAAGATTTGCATCCCACTGAAGGTAGAGATGAAGACCATGGCGACTCGATCGTCAACCGACCATCTTCTTCTACCTCGTGCCACCGAGCACCTTTGAGGCCCGTGTCTTCGGATGAGATCAGATATCTCTTGAATGAACAAAGAAAGGCCTTTGAGTGCAGGTTGGACGAGTTGAGGGAGGAAATGAATGCGAGATTTACTAGTTTGGAAAATGATATGTGGGCCCATGTGCACGATTTGAGGCAACATGTGGCTGATGAGGTCAATGTGATTCGACGTAGGCTTGATGAAGTGGCTACTGGCATTGGAGGACACAATTTCATCGATGAGAACGATACATTTTAGGACTATTGCTGTGGAGATGTGTCCCACCATAATTGATACGATCACAATTTGACGCCACATACAGAAGTGGACACACAGCATCCAAAAGGTGCAACCGAAGCAGTTGGCCGCCTGACCGATGATATGTTCAGAATGTCGACGGTTGGAGTTGGATTCGAGAGGTCGGTTGATGTTGCTCCAGATAGTGTAACAAAAGGCTACAAACACTGTACCTACAGTTGCTATCTCTA